AGAGAAAAACATTAATCTGTTGCCTCTCGCACCCAGCCTCCCCCAACTTGGGACTGAATCCGCAATTCAGGTATGTACCCTGACTGGGGCTCGAATCCTCAACCTTTTGGTTTGCAGGATGATGCCCAATCAACTGAGCCACACTGGCCAGGGCTCACCCAAGTGTATGTTTTATTGATTCAGGAAACAGAGAGAGAGAGAAACATCAACTGGTTGCCTCCATAAAGACCCCAACCAGAGGTTGAACCTGCAACATAGGGAAGTGCCTTGACCAGGAATTGAATCCTCAGCCTTTCATTTTATGGGACAATGCTCCAACCAACCGAGCCACCCAGTCAGGTGTTTGCCCTGGCCTTCTCAATTTTTATGGTCAGTGTTTGCCCTGGCCCCATCCTCCTCCACTTGAGTCTTCTTTCTTCCAGTTTCCATGACACAACAGTCTCCTGGCTCTCCTATTTCTCTGATCAGCCCTTCTCTTCCTACACATCTAGCTATGTGCTCCCAAGCTCTCGTCCGCAGTTCTCCTCTCTTCTGTTTTTCTCCTTCACAAGTTTCATTCGCTCTGATAGTTTCATTGAGCATGTCTAAGAGGGTAGTTCCAAAACTTTACCTTCCTCTAGCCCCAGACCAGCATTTGCAACTTTTTATTTGACATCTCTTCTTATTTCCCAGACCCCAGCCTTACATCCTCTGTAGGGAATAACTACTGCCTCTGGCTTCTCATTCTGTTAATAGCATATAGCCTGTGGCTCTCACACATAACTGAACTTATCATGTACTTTCTCCCATATTATTATCATTATATTCTTGCTTCATTGGTTCCCTCAAACTAAGCTGCTTTTTCCATTTATCTAATTCATAGTCTCCTTTCTACACATGTTTACAAAACAGATCGAACTAAATCTAAGTATTTTTGAAGAGTACTCACTTTCTAAACTTATACCCAGCACAGAGCTTTGGTCATCTTTGATGTGCACATCCCAGACCAGACCAGTCGAATTTCTTCCCCAGGTTTATGCTAAGTGGCATGAATCTAGAAGAGCCCTTGATATTAATGCCATGTAACCAGAAGGATGAGAACCCAAGACTTTTGTACATTCGAGAGTGTGTCTGCTCACTGTCCCCTGAACACACATGAGCTTTCTTTCTGCCATGTTACCATTCCCTCCCCTTCTTTTCTTTTTTTAAATTTTTTATTTTTTATTTAATTTTTTCCATCACCATTTATCCCCCTTCACACTCTTCCACCTCCATCTACCCCCTTCCCCTCCAGGCAATCACCACACTCCCCTCCTTTTCTACTAGTTGAAATTACATCTATCCATTGCTTGAGATTTAACACGATTAGCATTTACTCCTCAAATTCTGTGATCTCTCCCTCCTTCAAACTACACCCATTACAGTGTAAGCTTCTGAATGACTGACAGGTGTTTTCCATTAATTTCTTTATCTACCACAACCCCCTTCCCTGCACTCAGGCACAAAGCTTTGAAGACAAATGTGTAATAAATGTTGACTCCTTGGTGTCAAAGAAATATGTTTGATCACCAGTTTTTGTATAATATGTATTTCTTTTATTTTAACATGCATATTTTTCACAATTTTAGACTAGTGAAATCAGGGTTCATCTTATAATCATTGGCATGCTATAATTTAATTAGAAATATTTTTTCTTAAAGAAAGTGCGTGGTATATAAAATGTGGGTGCCTCTTACTTATATTTGATGGTGTCTTAGATTCAGCGAAATAAAGTATCATCCAAGTGTCCCTGAAAACAATTATGTGTACTCCTCTGTCTTCCTGCCTCTAGGATGAATCATTTTCATGTTCTCAACATTTCCTTAGTCCCTATTTTCTACTCCTACTGCTGTCTCCTCTCCCCCTCCTTTAATTTTCCACTGTTTTCAGGCAGATTCAGACTATTGCACTGCAATAAAGCAATGCTAAATACAACGGTGTCATTGTATCATGGTCCCACATGATAAAATGCTGCCTATGGTCCTACATGTCTGCTATAGAATTAACTCCAATTAAATACATAAGTTAGTTAAAATACATCTTTATTTTTTTAAGTGAGAACAGACTACCATGTTATATGAGCCTCAATTTATGAAGTCAACGTAGTCAAAAGCAGAGTAGTGTTGAAATTAAAGAAGAAAACGAAAGCAATATGATATATTTAATGACAATATATTCATTCTTTGAGTAGTAGTGTGACTCAGGAGAGTCTCTAGAGAGCAAATGTTTCTCAATAAATCTAGATGTCTGTCCCACCCAATTATCCTTGTTTACACACTTTCATTCTTCACGTGTCTCTGAGGCTGGGAAATCCAGTGATCTTGGACCAGGCAATTCCATGAAGAGGAAGTTGTCCTCACAAACACTGGCATGGGCCACCTGCCTTGACCCGTAGTGGTATATAAAGAGGGGGATCTCTCATTTCCTCTTCCCACAACCAAGGATCCAGCCAAAGCAGATGACTTGCTCCGCAAACCCTACACTCTGCAATCCCAAACTTTCCTGCCTCTTCTATACCTTCTCTCGGGCTGATTCCTTCATCTGAAGAAGCACTAACAGCACTTGCTATGATTATGGGAATGTTCTATCGACCTGCACTGTACAATACAGTGGCCACTAGCCTTCTGAGGCTATTGAGCAGAGCACTTGAAATGTGACTAGTGCAACCAAGAGACCAAATTTTTTATTTTATTTAACTTTAAATTTAAATAGATAAATGGCTAGTGACCACTATATTGGATAGCATAGATCTAGTATATCTTTTTCTACATGTACACCCATCATGCATATTTCTTCTTTTCCAATTCCTTAAACTTCTAGAAAATTCTTAAACCTGAGAGTGGTCTTGGGGACTCCCCGAACTTGTAGTTGCCCAAGGTAATCTAATTCATATTGTTGCCCAGAGCCAATCACACTGACAGTTAAGCTTCTTGAATCACACAGCCTCTGGACCAGTGAGCTAGAGGCCACAGTTCAGATGAAGGCTGGGGACCAGAGATGATGAGCTGGGTCTTCAACATGAGCAATGGAGTAGTGAAGTAAGTGTCTGGGACCAGGGTCCCACAAGGAGTGTATACAGGAACAGGGGATGGGAGAGGGCCTGACCCAGGGTCAGGCAGAGAGAAGAAGGGAGGCAGATGGCAACTGTGCAGTCAGTGGTGCTGAGGGAGTGAGGGGATCAGGTAGCTACCAGCCCTTGACTTGAAACTTCTGGAGGCTCTGGTATCCCTGCGTGCTCATCCCTGCCTGCTCTGATCCTCAGAAACCAAGAATCCTGACCCTGGGAGTCATGAGCTGTGGAGCAAATTCCACAGGCCTATGCTTACCTAATTTAAGGAAGGCTTATGCTCTCTTTGGTTGTACCACTTGTCTGCTCTGTTTTTTTTTTTTTTAATTGATTTTAGAGAGAGAAAGAGGGGAAGGGAGAGAGAGAGAGAGAGAGAAACAGCGATTTGTTATTCTACTTATACATGAGATTGTTGGTTGATTCTTGTATATGCCCTGACTGGAGATCAAACCTGTGAACTTAGTGCGTCGGGACGATGCTCCAGCCAACTGAGCTACCTGGCCAGGGCCACCATTGGTCTACTCTTGACCAAAGCACCAGACACCCAGATTCGGAGCAGCAAGGTGGTAGGTACAGCAGGGAAAGAGCAGAACCTCCTTCAGTAAGCACGAAATCTTACTGATTTAGAAGGCTGTTTCCCCTAGAACAGCCTTCTAATTTCCAAGTGCTGGGATTTAAAGAAAATGTCCCAGTCTCAAAATCAGGTCCTCTAATAATTAGAGATTCTACTGCATTATCTAGCAAACACCTAAAACAGGGTTAAGGGAAATAGTCATTCACAATATACTGTAGAGTCAATAAGTCAGATTGCTTTCCTAATCTGAGTTTAGCTGCATTACAGGAAAGAGTTACTAGCTTGTGGGAATAAGGGAGAAATCATTCTAGGGTGTGGGGTAGTTTGGTTGGCATAGGTGGCGGGGGGAGTATTCCTGGGCGGGGACAGGGCCTGGACACAGGGATTATTGAGGACACCTGCTGGGGAAGAAGCATAGAGAGGGAGGTAAGATAACATCTGAAATAAATTTCCACAGCAAACCCACACCTCTTTCAACCCCCACCAAGTTCTATTGTCACTAATTCTCTAGTCCCTGTCCCTCCCCAGCGCTAGGCTTCTCCTACATGGAGATTCCAGGAGAACGCAATGAGGTGACTTCTTGAGGGCCTCCTAAGAGACAGGAAATGCTTCTGTGGACAGACCTAGCAGGAGACACACCAGCAAACAGAATGGGAGTGTGGGGTGCCTCGGGGGCGAGGGTGGGAGAAGAACGGAAGAGCTTTCTGTCAGATGTAGAGTGAGCATAGGCTGTGAGGAGTTCTCTGTGAAAAGAGAACTTCCACTTGTTCATTCCACAGCACCTGGCACTCCATAGTTAATAAATGGTTGTGTGAATGGATGAAAGTTCCCTAATACTGCAAAGTCATACCAGTTGCCAGACACACACAGGTCAAATGATTTCCTGTCTGAATCTAAGCTTTTTTCCTTCTTAGGTAGGCACTTAATCCAGTTGTTTGGGTTTATTGATCTTTTACTCTTATTTTTTATTTTAATTTCCCATCTTCTATCCAGAACACCCCTAAGCTTGCCTTTCGTTTCCCCTTTTCCCTTCACAGCTGAATCCTAGACCTCATAGGTATCTCAGAACATCTGGAAGGCATTTGAGTCTTTTTTAACATGAGGGGGCTCTCATAAACTGTTCGCACAAGAACAGAAGAAGACAATCCCAGAGAGACATGAAGTGGGACAGAGCACAGCATGAATGAGGGGCAAACCCATGAGGTTGGGGATGTTGCTCACGGGAGTCCAGGGGCTGCTGCTCTGTCTTCTGGGAGGGGCACAGTCAGCAGGTCCACGTGCGGACGTCTGGCTAGGCCCCATAGATGTCTAGGTCCTTTCCCGGGCACAGCCTTGGAGCCCCTAGGAAAACACTGACCAATAAATTAGGTTGAAAACTATGTAGGAGGCAGGGAATATCAACCTGGAGTATTTGTCAATGGCATGGGTGTTCTGGAAGATGTAAAGACCCATCTGGCCCTTCGGAAGGGCCTTCTTCTTGGAGGAATTAGATTCATTGCTCAAGGCCAGGTGGACCACTATTTTGTCCTGCCTTTCTTCTTCTGTCAGAACATGGCTTCTTGGGTACCCAGCCAAACTATTGGCCTCAGAATCACTGTAGCTTCCATTCAGCATCATGGTTCTCGAGTGAAGCATTCCACACGTACATGGGAACTGTGAGTGGCAAGCACAAGAGAAGGTATGAGACATAGTTAGGCCTTGTGAGAGGGGCAGAGGAGGGGGCCTGGGTCTAGAACGAAGCCCCGTGGCTCCTGAGAACCACAGAAAGGCAAAATTAGAAGGATTCCCAGAGGTCACTGAACCCAAGGATTCTCTACCCTGGCTGCATATTAGAGTCACCTGGGAAACTCATAAAATGGCAACACCCACGATCCACTCTAGACTAATTTAAAGCCCGCCCAGGTGATTTTACTATGTAGCCAGGATCTAGAACCACTGATTTAGTCCAAATGCTCTCAATTGCAGAGGCAAAAACTAAGACCCAGAGAAGCTATACAATTCTCCTGAGATCACACAGCTAGTCTCAGAGTCAGGATTTTAAACCTATACCTTTTTATTCCAGGTGTGGGACTCCACCTCTTTTTGTGCTGAGAGATTGTCCTTCCTCTAAAGAGTTACACGTAAGGGTAAAGGGTCATGATGCCAGCCGTGTGTTTTTAAATGGATTGACTACACCAGCAGAACTATGTTTATATAGAGAAGGAGGCCACACAAAGATGGCAAATGTTAACAATGTTGGATATAAGTGCGGGCATAGGGTATATATTATCCTATTTTGTTAAACTGCAAGTATGAAAATGTTTATGAATTGTAAGTTGGAGGGAAGGAAAAGCTTTCACTTAACTTCTCCCACAATCTGAATGAGCAAAGGAGGGCTTCCAGCTGGCGCTGCACTGTCAGCATTGGCCAAAGGCAGAGGCCTGCCCGGCACAGCCAGCTGGCCTTGGGTTTATTCTTCTCAGCCTGTTGACGTTAGTATGTTTCTAACCTGGCTCTCAGACCTGAGTGCCTCTGTTTTTCCATCTGGGAAAGTGAAATAATGACGTTTCACAGCCTGCCCCCTATTGAAAGAATGCAAAAATAAATGGATGATTTTTATGGAGAATTAGAATTACTTGAAGTATTCCTTACACTTGAAGAAATCTTTTGTGGTTTGGGGTCTATTTCTTTTAATCAGGCATGATTGTTTCATTATTTTTTCCTATGTCTCGTCCCAGCCGCCACAATAATTAGGTAGCACATTAATATATTCCTGGAATAGACGTTAAGGATAAGAGGTCAGTAAGAGGTCATCTATTCAATTATTTGCATTTAGATATAATCACACCCAAATCTTGATTAAATTGTGAGATATTGTCACTGAAGCCTTATGTTGTTGTAGTTGCTGTTAAAGGCACAGGTCTTTACTTTACGTCTTTTCCTTGCTCTAAACAGAAACTTATTTTGCTAAAATGAAAACAGACTTTTCTCCAAAGATTTTGAGTTAGAATCGGGAAATGTCAAAGATTATGTTTCTAAGAAAAATTAAGCAGCTCCTGGCATGTTGAGCAGGTCCGGATAATCAGCCTGAGCATTAGAGCTTTTGCAACGGAGGCAGACCCCCACTGCCCTGCGTTCGACCCAAGCAGCATGGGCCCCCCATCTGAAGCAGGGTGAGCCTGGCAGGCTCCAGTCAGCTTTGCCTTTACAGAGTAGAGATTGAACTTCAGGGAATATCATTATCACCTGGGAGCTTATCAATAATGCAGATGCCAGGACTCCATCCCCAGAGACCCTGACTCAGTAGGTCAGGGGTGCGGCCCCAGAATCTCCATTTTCAACAGGCTTGGAAGGCGACTCCAGGCCAGGTGCTCTTTGGCGCCTACTTTGGGAACCTCCACTCCCCTGGGGACCATTTTCACGGTTGTGGTTTCTCTGTGGGGCAGCAGGGGAGAGATTTTGTCTTCCCACCACTATCTGTCCTCCAGCAACTGCGTCATCTCAGCCTTTAAATGGCACATGTCCCAGCAGCGGGGGATGAGCTCTCACCTCCCGGGCATCTGTTCTCACAAACAGGCAGCTGGACTTGGGGCCTGATCGTCTTTCCACGTGTGGTTTTCCCGTTTCTCTTTAGACAGTGTCGCAGGATCACCGGCAAAGACCCAGCCCCAGTGCATGGTAACAGGTTAATGAACTGCCCAAGTACAAGTTACAACATCTGCAGTTAACGATTTGCAAGCCCATATTTATCCAATGAAGGCTTTGTTATTTTTTGAACAGCTCTGTACAGGGAGGTCTAACAGAGTCTAACTCAAAAGTGTTTATATGACCAAAGTCATTTGATAATGAGCCGTGTACAGATTGTTATTAGTTTGAAAAAATATCCAAACACTGAAGTAAAAAAGATTTGAATAGAATTTTAAAAATAAATTTTTAAGCAATCTACCATACTTGGAGACAATGTGGACATTTTTAACAGGTATAATGTGAGCATTGAAGGACTTTTTAAAAAGCCAACACATCCTCTTTTCCTAAAATTTAGAGTTTCCTATGCTAAGGCACTACCAGCCACCTAGATGGGCATAAAAATAGGACTTTCATGTCCCCTGATCTCTGTACCTTTCAAGTGGACACCCATTTTGATTAGTGCAATGTCTAGCAATGATTCGGTAACAAGTTGGCATTCTATTTTTTCCTGTGACTAATAAGAACCTGGGTGTGAATGGAACAGACTGTCCCTCCCTGTGTCAAAGTCCCATACATTGCTTTTGACTCTCCATTTGCATTCTATCACATATACAGTGTAGTTTAGTATATTATAGTGCAGTACAGTATAGATAGTATAGTTTTTCCAATGACTCTAAAGACTAAAGTCATATGTGGCTGAGTTTTCACTGAGCCAAAGCACTGATAAATAAAGAAGCTTTTATTCTAGAACTCTTGCCTTATCTGGCCATAGGATATGAAGGCATTTTCTCTAGACATGTTCAATAATAATAGTAATACTTACATGTGTCTAGAACCCTACGGTTTCAAAACAGCTTTGACGTACATTATTTTATGTGACCCTTACAATAACCCTGGAAGGAAGGTAGGGTAAAGATTCTTTTACACAATTTTACAGATGAGAAAACTGAGGCCCCGCCTAAGTGGCAGAGTTAGGACTAAGAACATAAGTCTTTCTGTCCCTAGTCTTTGTCCAAAGACTTTCTGCCTTATGGGATCCTTTATGGCAGATGCTAGAACTTACTCTAAAATGGATCGCTATCTGTTTGCAGGAACCTCTTCCTTTTCTACAACCCTTTTCTCCCCTTTCTCATCTTCCTAACAGCCTGGACTCAAACAAGAAAATGAAGGAAACCTCTCTCGCCTTCTCTTGTAGCTTCCGCTCCTTCCACTCCTGCACCGTGGTCAGGTAGTTGACAGCTGCGTACTCCAGCACCGAGAGGAACACGAACACAAAGCTGACCCAGAGGTAGATGTCCACGGCCTTGATGTAGGAGACGCGGGGCATGGAGGCGTTCACGCCCGTGATGATGGTGGACATGGTCAGCACCGTGTTGATTCCTGCAACATCCAGCTTTTAGATCAGCCACTGATGAGGGTGCACAACTGCTGCCCCCACTTCACTAAGTCACCATGTTACATTCTCCATCTCCTAAATCAAACAGGAAATCCCCCGGACGTGTTTCCACCTCGTAGAGGGCAAGGGCCTGCTCCACAAGCAGCCGGGCTGCCCTCGGGGCCAGCTCGCTGCCTGCGCCCTGTCACCGTCAGCGCCTTGGGGCGCTGGGTGTCTGTGTTGTGGCTGACAGGCGCAGCAGTGCTTCCGAAAGGACCTGTTCGAGTGTGGGACTTAACACAGTGACTAAAGGCCATTCCAGAGGAAGGAACACATTCTCCCTCAGCTAATCCACATTTTTAAGTCCACGAAGACTGTGGGAATTCCTGAAGTCTATCAGGCTTGTTTCCTTCACATTGCCGTGCTGGTCAAACCCTCACATTTCTCAGGGCCCAAGCTGATTTGTCTAAATTTACAGTAATGAGTTGTAAACATTCACTCTGGAATTCAGAGCCTGCGAAGGGCTAAAACCACATGTTACCAGGGAGTAGAGCCCTCTCCTTCCCAGGAATCATGTAACATGGGCCCTACCTCCAACGTCTCAGTTTGTCTAAACAAGGCCACCAAACTAGTTTTCGTATTTGCAGAATAAGTTTTCCGCATTTGTGAAATTGTCTTACATATCAAAGTCCCGAGATCTAAAACCGTCATTGGTGGTCTATACCCCAAATACGCTCTATCTTTGTGAGATGATTTGAGCAGAGTTGATGTCATTTTAGCTCCCAATGGTCTTCAATATGTAGCCCAGGAAACTGAGAGCGGTGCAGGAATTAAGACAAGAAACAGGAGGAACATTTGCCCTTCTGACTGACAGCCCATCACCTAAGAACTCCGAATAATGGTTGGTTTTACTTTTTCTTTACATAGTGATCAGTTGGAAAAAATGGGAAAAAAAAAACCCACCCCACTACACCACATCAAATGCTTTTACCCAGTGAAACTCTGGCGGGCACAGCTCTGCGGTCAATCCAGAAGGACACCCAGGACAGTGTGACCATCAGGGTGGCAGGGAAATAAGTTTGGAGCAAGAAGAAGAAGATGTGACGACGCAACGTGAAGTTAATGTACAGACGATTGTACCAGCCTGGGGGACACAGGAAGAAGCCAGTGAGTTTGCAGCTGAGAGGCAAGAACAAACCGCTTCCCCAGGAGCCCTTCTTTCACCGACATTGGTCTCATCTTCAGCAGAAAGGTACATTTCCTTTCCAAAATCTAAACCCTCTCCTGTGTGAATAAATACCTTGCCAGGACTCAGTACATTTACTGTTTTATTCAGTATTATCAAACATCTCTTTGCAGCACTTTGGGGAATGTGGAACTAAATTGAGGTCTAGGTCAAATAGTTTGGGTTTTTTTGGTTTTTGTTTTTCTTGCAAACCACACCCACATTTCCTGAGTGGCTGATTCTATTTTGCTGAAGCCAATACCACTGAGGCAGGAGCCAGCAGGGCTGGGCTCTCGTCACTGTCTTTATTGTGAGATTGGTCAGCTCAGTCTCCTCATTTATCACAAGAAGATGAAATAGGTCATTCACATGACTCTGAAGTCTGACATCATTTCTACTTCTGACACTCCAACCGTCATGTGGAAGTCACTCCGTTGGTCTTATGCAAATCATTTACCACTTCCTCATTCCTCAGGAAAAAAAATGAGGATATAGATATTATCTATTTCATCCTGGCAGTCAGAGAATAACTGATTAATGGTTGTTAAAAAAAAAAAAAAAAAAAGGACAGAAATGTTAAGGTTGCAAATGATCCACAATATTATTACCTAACCACTGGGGCCAAAGATGGTGTTAAGGACAGTGTAAATGTGTAAAGGGATCTGAAGCTGTGTGCACACCCCACTCACTCCCATCTCAGCCCAGTCTTATCAGAAAACGATAGAGCTCAGAGACAGTCCAGCGCTGGGCCTCAAGGCAAGGGGTACACACAATGGTGTACAGCAAGATGACTTCTGGAATACAGAGGCAGGGACATTTTTGTTTGTGTTCATTACATTTATTATTAAAGTCATCTTCCACTTATGGCAAATGATACCAGTTTCTCATCAACGACAGTGATGTAAACTTCCTTTTCAAAATAAAGTACAAGAGGGGAGTTGACTTTTAAAGACAGTAAGTCAATGGCAGCATAGTTGGTATGTAAGACAAACTTCACGATGGTGTCAAGGAAATCATTGAAATCCAGATGAGTCCAATTCTCTTATATGGGACACGAGGAGACTCCCAGAGGCTTTTCTAAGACTTTGTCTGAGTCAAGATGAAGTCAGGTCAGAGCTCGTGTCTCCAATACCCAGGGCAGGGCCCCTCTCACACGATGCCCCTTAACTCCAGCAGTAGCCGCCGAGGGCCTCCACGTGTGAGTGCTGTGCTAGGGCCTGAAGGGCATAGAGAGGAACCTAGATCTTGGTTCCTGCGCTCAAGAATTTTCAAGGAATTGCAAGAAAGTCCCACAGGATGGAAATGCTCGAGACGTAGAATAGTGTATATCTAAGTGCTAAAATCTGTGGAAGCAGTGAGTGGTTTGGAAAAGAGAGACCTCAATACCTATGGACTGGAATGATTACGAGAGATCTCATGGGGGAGATGAATGTAAGCTGGACAAGTGAAGGGGAAGAAAAGAGGCTCAGAGATGGTGAGTGGTGTAGGCTGACAATTGCTCAGCCTGGCTGCTTTTGAGGAGCTCCTGGGAGTTTTACTACTCTCCAAAGCCCTGTTCGATCCTAGAGAGATTCTGATTTAATTGGTCTGGGATGGGGAGCTAGGCATAGGCATACTTTAAAAGTTCCCCAGGTTGATAGCAACATTACTCACAGTACCCAACACAATATCCATCGATGGATGAATGGTTAAATATAATCCACACAATGGAATATTATTCAGCCTTAAAAAGGAATGGCATTTTTACACATGCTTCAACATGGATGAACCTTGAAACCATTATGGTAAGGGAAACAAGCAGTCACAAAAGGACAAATATATGTTTTTACTTTTATGACAAATACATAGAGACAGAAATAGAATAGAGGTTCTCAGAGACTGTGGGGGAGTAGGGGGTTGTGGGGAGGGACAGGCAGTTATTGTTTAAGAAGTACGAGTACAGAGTTTCTGTTTGGGATGATGAGCAAGTTCTGGAGATGGATGGTGGCGATGGCTGCACGATACTGTGGCGGTGCTTAATGCCAGCGAATTGTGCGTTTCACAATGGCTAAAATGGTGAATTTTATATGTATTTAACCAGAATTTAAAAAAAAATACTAGCTAACAACAACATCAAAAAATTCCCCAGGTAATTCTAATGTGCAGCCAGAGTTGAGAAACATTGACTTAGAGCAGTAGTTCTCGAAGAGGTGTTCCTGGGCCAGTCACAAGAGCATCAATGGGAACTAGTTAGAAATGCACATTCTTGAGCCCACACAGGATCTACCAATGAGAAACTGTGGGGGATGGGGCCTCGCAGTCTGTGTACACCAACTCTGGAGAACTTGTTAAAACAGATGCCTGAACTCCACCTCCACAGTTCCCAGGTGATACTGATGCTGCTGGTCTGCGCGCCATAGTTTGAGACCCACATTGGCTAAAAGCCATGGTCTTTGAACTCTGATGTGCAGAAGAATCACACATTAAACATGCAGACTCCTGGGCTCCACCACCCAAGATTCTGACTCAGTAGCTGCAGTGGTGCCCAGATATCTGCTTGTTGAACACACAACCCTGGCGATCGGGATGCATGTAGACCTCAGAAATGCACCTGAGAAATGCTACTGAGGTGACAAAAGCCCTCTGGCTGGATTGGAAAGTTAGTGCTGAGTCAGGTAAGGGAAGGGATGGGTCAATAAGAAAAGGCTGGAGTACAGGTTTAAGTGTAGACAAGCCTGACAGTGATTACTGTGTAGGTTTGGGGGTTGTTTGAATGAAGCAGGAGCTTTTAGTGCAGTGAATAAATAGTGATCTTCAAATATGACAGAAACTACTAATTATTTATTCATCCCACAGACTTTGTCCAATCTTGTCAGCTTAAATCGGCACCCATGAAGCAAATCACATTTTTTTTCCTAGGTTGGCACAGTATCATTCTGGAAGAGCTGAGAGCTGCTTTTATTCGGTGAAGGAGTGCTCCATTATCCTTTCCTTCTGTCTAAGAAAACCAGGGAGAGTTGCCTTGGAAACACAAGGAGTGAACCAGAAGCTTTGAAAATGTACACTTTGTGTTCCACACTCCTGGGTGAGCCTACAGCCCCTGTGGGAATGGGATGATATACCTGCTCATTAGCACATAGTAAATAGTAGGAGCAGAAAGAAGATGCAGTTTAATCTGAACTCCAGGAAGGCTCAGCAGGGGACAAAACAAACAACAAATGAGCATGCTATCCCAACATAGAAAACATCTGAGGAGTACACATAGTGACTAAGGCAATTTGCCTGGCCACTAACCGGCTATGTAATTTCAATAAACCTTAATTCCTTCTACTTTCAGTTTTCTCATCTGTGAACTTGGGATAATAACATCTACATCATAGGTTTGTTGGGTAGCAATTAGTTAACTCATATAAAGTACTCAAAACAGTGGCACATTATAGAAGTTATATAAGAAATTCTTTTTTTAATTATATTTTATTGATTATGCTATTATAGTTGCCCTGATATTTCCCCCTTTGCCCTCCTCCACCCAGCAACCCCCACTCCATCAGGAAATCCCCACACCATTGTTCATGTCCATGGGTCACATGTACACATTCTTTGGCTACCCCATTTCCTCTACCATACTTTACATCCCCATGGTTATTCTGTAATTGTACTTCTTTATCCCCTCACCTCCTCATCCATTCCACTACACCCCTCTCGCATCTGGCAACCATCAAAACACTCTCCATAGTCATGATTCTGTCTTTGTTCTTCCTGTTTGCTTAGTTTGTTTTTTAGATCCAATTTTTGATAGATATACCTTTATTGCCATTTTGTTGTTCATAGTCTTGATCTTCTTTTTCTTAAATAAGTCCCTTTAACATTTCATATAATAATGGTTTGGTGATGATGGACTCCTTTAGTTTTTTCTTGTCTGGGAAGCTCTTTATCGCCTTCAATTCTAAGTGATAGCTTTGCTGGGTAGAGCAATCTTGGCTATAGATCTCTGCTTTTCATGACTTTGAATATTTCTTGCCAATCCTTTCTAGCCTGCAAAGTTTCTTTTCAGAAATCAGCTAACAGTTTTATGAGAATGCCCCTGTAGGTAACTACCTGCTTTTCTGTTGATGCTTTTAAGATTCTCTCTTTATCTTTAACCTTTGGCATTTTACTTATGACCTGTCTTTGAGTGGGCTTATTTGCATCCATCATAATTGGGACTCTATGTACTTCCTGGACTTGCATGTCTATTTCCTTCACCAAATTAGGGAAGTTTTCTTTCATTATTTTTTCAAATAGATTTTCAATTTCTTGCTCTTTCTCTTATTCTTCTGGCACCCCATGATGTGAATGTTGGGCCTCTTGAAGTTGTCCCAGAGGCCCTTTCTACTATCCACACTTTTTTGTATTCTTTTTCCTTCTTGTTGTTCTGGTTTGTTGTTTTTTGCTTCCTTATGTTCCATATCATTGATTTGACCCTCAGCTTCATCCACGCTACTGTTGTTTCCTGTAAATTGTTCTTTATTTCAATTAGTGTATCCTTCATTTCTGACTGGATCTTTTTTATACTGTTGAGGTCCTCACCAAGTTCCTTGAGCATCCTTATAAACAGTGTTTTGAACTCTGTATCTGATAGATTGCTTATCTCCAGTTTGTTTAGCCCTTTTTCTGGAGTTTTGATATGGTTTTTTCATTTGGGCCGTATTTTTTTGTCTCCTCATTTGGCAGTCTCCCTGTGTTTATTTCTATGTATTAAGGAGAGCTACTTTGATTCTGTGTCTTGGTATATGGCCTAGTGTAGTAGGTCTCCTGTAGGGTCCAGTGGCACAGCCTCCCCTATCACCCAAGCTGGGTACTCAAGGTGCTTCCTTTGTGTGGTCTGCGTACACTTTCCTCTTCTAGTTGGGACTTGGTTGCTGTTGGCAGTTCAATAGTGGGCATTTACCCAGGCCAGTCAGCTATGGGGACTTGCTGTGACCACTGACCACCAACTTTCATCCCCCATGGAGGATCAGCTGTGCAGGGGCAGGATGGTGGTGCTCTAACACAGTCTGTAGCTGCCCACTGGGTGTGAAGGTCCTGGGGTTTCCCAGGTGGTGCAGGGCAAGGTCAGCCCCCACCTGTGTTTTGACTGGAGCCACCCTGCCTGAGTTATAAAGGAATGTGAAATGCCTGCTACTTGTGCTGGGCATGGAAATTCCCAGGTGAAGCCAAAGTGTGAATCTAGGCTGGCTGCTGCTAGTGCTGGGCCTGGGGCTCACTGAGGCCAGCTGTTGCTTGTTTGAGAATCTTTAGGCAGCATGAGCAAAAACCAGTCATTCATGTGAAAAAGCAGTTTGGGTGGGCCCATTAATTGTGTGGGGCACAGTCTCTGGGGGTCTCCAAGGCAGGGCAAACATTATTAGCCAGGTTGATGGAGTCTCAGATATGGCACCAGCTTGCCAGCTTTGTGGCTTTGGGCAGGGGTGAGGTTCAGAAAAGGGACAATGGCCTCTGCTCACCCTGATGCCAGACACTTCAGTTCCCCCCTATATGCCACTCATGTCTTTCAAGCTGCTACCCTGGTACTAGAGCTCAGAGGGAATGAGTCTGAGTAGGTGAGTCCATGTGTGGGTTCTTTAAGAGGAACTGCTTGAGACTCCAGAAGTTTCTTCCCCTGACTCAATTCCCACTGGTTTTTGCAGGCAGAAGTTGTGGGGACTTATCTTCCTGGCACTAGAAGCCTGGACTGGGGGGACTGGTGTGGGGCTGGGGCTCCTCACTCCTGAGATAGTGCTCCTGAATTTTTATCCACAACACGTGTGTGAGAGACCAGCCCATTCTGCGTCTGCACCCCTCCTATCAGTCTGGATGGATGTGGTTTCTTTAATTGTGTAGTTGTCACACTTCCATTCAGCTTGATTTATGACAATTCTTAGTGATGGTTAGTCTATATTTTAGTTGTAATCTTGATATGGTTGTGCGAAGAGTTGAACCATGTCTACCTATGCTACCATCTTGACCAGAATCCCCAAGAAACTCTTAATAATGGTTTTAGAAAGAGAGTTTATTTGAACTTGCCAAGAATAGATGAGAAAAGAAAATTGTGTGGCAATACATATCAGAATGAAAGAGAAGAGAGGGATGAGGCTGGGTACTGTAGACATGAAGTGAAGTAGGCTTGGGCTGTCTCAGCACCAATATAGTCTTGGCTGGGCTTGCTCTTTTCCAGTGTTTGATGCTGTGAACAGAGGGGTGAGGGTGGGGGCAAGTGAACGAGTAGACGGTGGCCATGCAGGGGCAGGCAGTGGCACAAAATCTGCCCATGGAAGGGCCTGGGCTTCTCAGCACTGGGACAAAAAGTAATGAAGTGAGAAGTCATCTAGGGTCCCATAGCTACTGCAATGCTCTTGTAGGCTGAATTTTGTCCCGTAGAAAGATATGTTGGAGTTCTAACTCTCAATAACTGTGAATGGGACCTGATTTTAAAATAAGGTCTTTGCACATGTAATCAAGGTAAGATGAAGTCATATTGGATTAGATGGGCCATAATCCAATGACTGACGCCCTTGGAGAAGAGGGAAATTCAGACATAGATACACAAAGACAACACCATGTGAAGACACATAGACACAGGAAGAATGCCGCCATGTGACCACGGACGTAGAGACTGGAGTGATGCAGCAACCACTAGAAGCTAATGAGAGGCAAGGAAGGAGCCCTCCCTAGAGCCTTCAGAAGGAGCAAGCACCCAGTTTGTGGTAATTAGTTACAACGGTCCTAAGAAATTAATACAATAACAAATGGTGACATTAGAGAAGAGCTGACAAATGAATCCTCTCAAAACTTCAAACATGGCCCAGGGTTCACGAAGATGTTACATTAGCATTAAAAATGCATTTATAGATCTAAATATAGGTATAAAAATATTGCCTCTGAAAGCTATCCATCCATATTGTTAACTCAAATGAATCAGGTTACAGATCAGCATGTAAAATATAACCCTACTTTTCTGAAATTATATAATTAAAGACAGATGTCTGCAAGAGTGTTTGCTAAATTGTAGGGATGATTACCTCCGGCCATGGGATTTCAGAGGGCAGCAACTTTTTACTCTCTGTTTTTAAGTGCCATTTATGTTTTGGGGGGCTATGAGTTATTTTAATAAGAAGAATGTATTTTCCTTAGGGGGATAAAGGGATAAAGGTTAAGGCTGAAGAAGAATTCTACTGTATTTTCTTTCACATTTGAATCGGACCACACAAAAGTTAGCTACCGGACCACTTTGTAAAGCATATGATTTGTCTAGCAACTATTCTGTACACCTGACACTAATACAGAATAATATTGAATATAAACTGCAACTAAAAAGAAATAAATTTTTAAAAAGAAACACACACACACAAAAGTTATTTACCAGTGCTGCTGTAGAAGGCCAGTCTGGAAGTGGTGTGGAATTTCTGAATTAGAAACTGAGACAGGGAGACCTTTTCATCTGTTTTCAGGGATTCATCCCCATTCTTCCAGTACAGCATCAGATCTTCATCTGTATATGCATCTTTGGGGGGAGGAAAATAAGTTAATTTGACTCCTTTGCTTCTGATGCAGGATAAAGCAACAGGGAAATCCTTCACCAGCCTAAGAGTAAACAGTTCTTAATACTGGCAGGCAGTGCCCTGTTTCATGGTTTCTAAAATGGCACAAATATTGGAGAGGGAGCAAGGTAAAGATTTGTCATTAAGCATACTGATACTCACAGCTTTCCAGCTCCAAAGAACAGGTCTGGGAGTCCAAGGGAAAGTGGGTGAAGTCCATGTTGCACATGGCAGTGACCGTAATCCTAGACAACCCAAACACGCATGTTGGCTCATGCACTGCGCTATTGGCTCATACACCTTCTCAGAGTAAGGAGAATATAGACCCAACCAAGAGCAGGTGCCTCCTCATGTCTATTTTAGAAGTTTGAAAACCCAGTGTCTAAGTTACTGAACCTTAACTTTTGTCTTTCTGTAGCATATATTACGGTGTTCTGCCCATATCCTAGCTACCAAGGGTGTTGGCTGCTAATGGCTCACATCTGCACACTTCTCCTGTCATTGCTCTCAACCAGCCTCCCCCAGAGATACCTGGAAGATTATGTCCCCTCCCCACCCCCCACCGAGGATATTAGCATCTAATTTGGGAGAACTGTACAAGCAGGCCAGAAAGATGTGAATAAGACCACCTAGTCATTCCAGTTAGCCCAGACACCAACCGGCAACAACACTCAGTAAGCAGTAGCTCTTTTTAAAAAATCATTATTACCAATAAGCTAGCATTTATAAGCTCTCGGGGTGGAAGTTACCTAGAAGGTCATTGGCTCCCTCAATTCATTCAGGCACATCTAGTCTCCTAACCCAGGTTTTAGATCCCCATTGACAGGGAAGTCGCCAGCTACAAGGGTGGCCATTTCATCTGAGAGAATTGTACTAGGTATCAGAAGGCTTGTATCACCCCATGCAGCCCACAGACCCAACCACAATGGCAAATTCTTCAGGGCCAAAGAGGCTAACCACGTGTATCAGAATGGCACTGGACGAAGAAACCATGACCGCGTGGGTAGTTACCTCATGCTGTATAGCACGTGCCCATCCGGGAACACCCTCAGCATGACGTTGTCCGTGGTGGTGTCGTGGGTGAATGACCTTTTGGAGTGAACAAAGAAGATGTCGGGGACCCAGATCTTCTTTATCAGCCGCCCATCAAAGGTCATGCTCTTGTTGCTGGTGCTGGGGAAGGACAGCCTCTCGTCTTTCCAGTAGTGCCGCAGGTACAGGGTCATGGTGAAGTCCTGCGGGGGAAATGCCTCAGAAAGCTTCCTTCCTTACAGAATTTCAATCTGAAAACTCACACCTCCTGATCTCCTCCGAGTGTGGTTCATCTGACCTCTCCTACCACCTGAGGAGTGTGTTCAAAGGGTAAAGTGCTGGGCCTTACTCCCGGAGACTCTGAATCAGAAAGTGTAGAGCAGGGCCCAGGGATCTGCACTGAACCAACTCCTCAAACTATTTTTACCCACGAAGCTTGAGAATCCCTGCTTTAGATTTGACTGCACCTGGGCCAACTTCCAAGTCCCAGTTTGATTACCTGCAGCTCCGGCTTGGCCCACCCAGCACAGCCTGCCTCGTGCAGCCCCACCAGCCACAGCCTCTCGTAGAAGTTTAGCCTCGAGACCCCACCCTCCGGGCTGCCCCACCAAGGGCACTGCGTACCATGTCCACCTCCGAGATGCTGTCCAGGCTCTCGACCTGCACGTCCACACCCACCGGAATGGCAGGGCCTGCAGAAGAGCGAAGACAGGTGGTTAAGGCACACTGCTCTCCACCACCAGGCTGGGAGAGCGCCCTACCCCCTTCCCAAGGGAGCCTGGCTGGAACAGCGATGAGGCAGTCGTTTGGATTCTATGAGCGTTTTCTTGATACTTCCTGATGTGTTGGGTGCCTGAATTTTCTCCACGAGGCAGGGACTGTGTCTGCCTTACGGGCCTTTCCTGGGAGCAGGTGGATGTTTATCCCTGCTTGTTGCACAAGTCAAAGAGCTGGATTGCTGCCATCTAATGCCAGGACTATCTCTGCAGGGTAGAGCTACTAATGTTGCTCTAGTGCTTGAGTGGAGACCTTGGTCATTGATCCTCCTGTGACACCTAAAAAGTGGGGAATGAGGCCCATGAATGAGGCCCAAGAGCCTCAGACGCAGGGCTGGGACCTCTGCATGCCCAGGGAACGGTTTTTTCTGTCATTCAGGCTCTACCTACAGTGGGCCGAATAGACAGCTGGGGTCCTGCCTTCCAGAAGCCTTTGACATGGTGGGAGATGAGGTAACTGTGCACGGTTAGGTCTCAGTGAAAGACAACAATGTATGGGGTTTTGAAATCCTTTCATGCATGTCAGATGAGAAGCACAAAAACACATAGCCCAGAAGCTGGGCACTCAATTGCATCTGGCCTGTGACAAGATTCCTGAAGCTGGGTGTATCTGTGGGTTCCCGTGCTATTTCTCGATCTGAGTGATGGTCACATTGGTAGGTTTCACTTTGCAGTAACTTAGTGGGCTATACACTTAGAACCTGTGCACTTTTTGTATGTATATTATGCTTCCATAAGTATTTTTTTAGATTTTAATATTTTTTAAAAACCTAGGATAGTGAAAACCAAAATCCTCTGTCTGTCAGGCATATGAATGAATGTTGTTATGCTCACAAGCAAACAAAGGTGTCTGGAAGAGTCAGGTGGCTGGACTGGGACTCCTGGGGAAAAGGCATTGCCCTGGGTCCTCTGTGCCCTGGACAGGGAGTGCCGGACCAGAGTGCCCTGCCCCACGGTGGTCTGAGTGGGGAGAACCTTACGGTGGCAAGAAGAGTCTGGTTCTTAGGGAATGAGAAGGACTGGGAGGTGCCAAACTTTGGCCGAGGGCAGAGAAAGAGGATCAGAGATCCTGACACAGAGCAGGAGCTAGAGGGCTCAGTCATGTTTCAGCACAAATGCGAGGACAGGAGGTCCTTGTGGAGGTGGCCCAGGGTGAGGCCCCCCAAACCTCCCCCATAGGCTTGCTAATTGCAATCCCACCAATGAAGATTTGGGTTTTGGGCTGAGCTCAAAAGAGTGGAAGCATTTTATTCATTCCTAGTGGGATTTTGTGGATATTTTCTGAGTTTTTAAACATGAAACAAATAAACACAATACTTTGTCCTTTTATTTTTATTCAACCCCCTCTCTGAAAACTCAAGGTGTAAGCTGATCTTTTTAATTTCTTGTGTTCGTCAGCCGAGGGCCCATGAGAAATCCCTGCTCTAACAGCCATGTTTTCTTCTTATTCCAGGCTCCAGGGATGTTCTGAAGGCGCCAGAAGTGGAATGTTCAGTGTGGAGAGGAGGACACCTCCTCAGAGCTATTAGTCTACCTTTCTCCCCTGAGGACCTTGCAGCGTGAGGGAGGGCCTGCCGCGAAGCCTGCCTGGGGCCTGCTCCCGCTACCCAGACCCCTGCACACTTGCCCAGGGCTCTGTGCTCCCAACATTGCCCTCAGGGAAGTGGGGCTGGTTGATTCCTCATCCTCTGGACCCTTTGTTAGCCTGAGATACTGAAACAGTCCAGAGTTTGAGCTCTTAACCCCTGGTGGGAGGTGTGCCCACCTCGACCCACCCGCCGTGGGACTGGCAACATTCGGTGTCTCAGAAGCCAAAGGGAAGAAACAATATAGCTATCACCCTCTTTGGACTCACTTCTCAGTGGCCTGGTTTTCAGATAATGCTCACAGTGTTTAACCAGGAGCTGGCTTTGGCAAAGGACATTTTACAGATAAAATATATCAGCTTGCTTGATACCTGTTACTGTGTCTCTCTGTTCTCAGGACCTGCCTTGCCCTCCAAAGCTCCAGCTGCCCTTCTAAGAGAAATTTGATAAAGCCTGGGAAGGTGGTACCAGTGCTCTGGAGGTATGGCCACGTGGGAGTGTAGGTCAAGTTCACTGGGAACCTGGGTTGCTGGAGGTGAACAATCCGTGTGTTCAGGAGGCTCCGGAGCTATATTCCGGGGGGGCTCACACCTCAAGCATGAACAGAACCAACAGCCCTGCCTCCTTGGTCTGGGCCCAATGGAATTGACCTTTGCCTTGACCTGCCCATAGCCAGAGGCTAACGCTCCCAGGCTCTCCCGAGCTCTCCATTTTGTGGCCCTTCCCGACCTGGTTTTGAGAGAAATTCTTCCAAATTACTGATCTTTCTCCTCCTTCCATGAACAATTTTATGTCTTGAGAGGAACTGAGTCCTATCAAGGGTTAGAAAGTAAGCGGTCTAGTTAAACTAACGAGGCATTCATGTCTTGGCTCCTCAACATCGCTGCGGGTTTTCCTGCTTTCAGAGAGGGATCCAGTGAGCCACACGGGAGTCCCTGGTGGGGTTTCAGGCAGTATGACCAGGTAGGTAACAAATTCAAGGCAGCGTAAGAAAATTCATGTTTACTCCAGGGCTTTGCTTGGTTCCTAACCTTTCTGCCATTAGTTATTTCTCCTCACGCGGTCCTGGAAAGTACATATTAGAGATTTATCCATTTTTGAAATTAAGACATATGTCATTTCTTCCCCACTGGCACTTCAAGAATAAATGTGAGGAGAGAATTTTCAGACAAACTAAAACTGAGAAAATTTTCCAGCAACTGCCCTGCTGTAAATGAAGGTGTGTTATAAGCAGGAGGAACAGGAGCCCAGAAGGAAAGCTGGATGTGCAAGAATGAATAAAGAGCCATGAAAATAGTAAATATACACATAATTCTAAGTGAACATTGACTACATAAAACAATGTTAATAATTTATTGTGGGCTTGAAAAAACAAAAACACATAATAAAAATAACATTTAAGTAGGGAAGAGTATAAATGGATTAAAAGTGTTCTGAGGCCTTTTGCATTGTCCGGGAGAATAGTGAAAGTAGCCAATTAACATAGTAGTGTGATTCATGTTTTCTGGGGAACCACCAAAAAATAGTAAGAATATGTATTTTCAAAACTAAAACAGAAAAGCCAAAATAAGAATAAGCAAAAATAATTAATCTGAAAGAAAACAATTGGAAAAAAAGAAAACATATAGAGTAGGTTGGACACAGAAAAAACATAGGAGGATGATAGATTTAAAACCACTGTATACATTATTCGATGAAGATAAATAGACTAAATACTCCAATCAACAAACAAATGTTGTCTGACCTGATACTTCAGAAATGCTGAAAGTTTAAACATTTAGTTTTCAACAGAAATATTAGTGTAAATGACTCAGTGTAAATTACGTAGCGTAGGTGGGAATTCACCATGCACTAAGGGACAGGGTGCTGGGCGGTGGGGTAGGGCTGCTTTTGGATATAACTTTGATCGATTATATATCCAGTGAAGACCTCTCTTAGACTTTAACGACAACTAGGCAATTAGAGTTGGGGTCAGAGACTGGGCTCAAGAAGGAGACTGAGAGTCATCATCAGGGAGAACTGATTGTAGAAGTGGCTGAGGAGAAGGGACCCACAGACCTCAGAGAACAAGCCAGGGAAGAGCTACGCCACAAAGACCACAGAGGGAGGGGGCTGCCAGAGGAGAGCGGCCATCGGAGGGCGGTCAGAGACACCAGAGCCCAGGAGGAGGCTCCTCGACTCAGCAAGTGCAGTAGGGCGGGAGATGGTGACAGGTAGGAAGTCAAGACAGCTGGTGGAGGTGGAAGAAAAAGGGTTTGACAGCAGAAGGAAAATGGATACCGGGCAAGGGCCATCATTGTAAAACCTTACTTCTGGAAGTCATCAGTGTTTCTCCAACTTTATGAATCAGCATCAAAGGAGGGCTTGTGAAAACCCAGCTGCCCGGGCCCCACCGCCAGTCTCTGGTCCAGGATGCCTGGGAGGGGACCAGAATGTTGCACAAGTGCCTGGTGACGCTTGAAGAAGCACATGAACCAAGGCTGGTGCAAGGCTGGTGCTAACTCAGCCCTTTGCTGCTTGCGTTTATCACAGGAAAAGTCCTCCTGTGTTCTAGAAGTTGATATGGGGAAGGCACTACAGGCACAGCCATTGTCCCTGGTCACAGGCGGGGTCCCATCCCTCCGGGCTTCCCAGACTCACTTAATGCCAAAGGGCCCCCTGCTGACCTCTGGATTTGCCTCTCCACACCCACCCTCTTCTCCGCCCTTCTTCTGGCTGCGGGGCTGACCTCTACGGGTAGCACCAACATTTGCAGGCCCATCCCAGACGAGGGTATTACTGGAGGCTAAGGAACTGCAAAATGACATAATTTAATCCTATTTCTTTGACAAATATACCTTCACATCAACTCAGAAGGCCACGTCCAACTTCAGAACTCAGAGACCTCAGAGTTCTGGGACGGCACATGGCAGGGCAGGGAGGATGAGCCCTCTTCTGCGTTGTCTTTCATCTCTGCCCACCCACAGCTGCGCCCTGCACAGAGCGCCTCTTGCACTTGTGGACACCCCATCTACGTACCTAAGCTCCATCCAACCTGCTTCTGATGACAGCTACCCTCGGCCCTCGCTCAGGGCCAGGCGTGCTCACCTTTACCCAGGAGCTCCCTTCTTCCTGACGTGTCCTCCTTTCTCAGTCTGCTGGGCTCACTCCCTGCACATCTTTCTGGACTCATTTTGAGCTTCGCCTCCTGGAGGAAGGTTTCCCTGATTCTCTCTCTGGCAGAACTCACCACTCCCTCAGTTCCCTGACTCCATCAGTAGGGGTATCCTCCTTTGCTCTGTGACACTTGATTGCATTTAATCATTTACCCATTTATCTGTTTCTCCAGTAGATTCATTGAGAACAATCTATTGTTTCAGGCAAAGTATTGGTATGTAAAGGACTCCAATAGCATGGAGAAATATCAATGTGCAAGAGAAACATCAATGGGCCTGTTGGGGACCTGGCCTGCCATCCAGGCACGTGTCCTGACCAGGAATCAAACCAGTGACCTTTCAGTTGGCAGGCTGGCACTCAACCCACTGCCAGGGCAGAATTTGACATCTTGATATGAGGATTTCATTAACAATGGTTTCCCCACTTAGAGTGTAAAAACTGCAAGAACTGTGGCTGTCTTGTTCACCACTGAGTCCCCAATTGTCACAGACCCTGCCTGACACATAATAGCTAAAAAAAAAACCCCACATATTTGCCTTAAGAACAGTAGTATTTTGGTTAGAGAACCTAACCTACTTTGTTGCCACCATTCTTCCTGACCATCCTGACAAACTCCTTGGATATAATTGAAACAAATCTATGATGACACTATATCCCTCCTTTACTTCCGATCTAAATGGTCTGAATTATTCGATAAAAATCAGCATTGTGCTAGCAGGATTGTAAAATGGTACAGCTGCTGTAGAAGACGGTGTGGTGGTTTCTCAAAAAAAAATTAAACATAGAAGTACCATATGGTCCAGCAATTCCACTTCTGAGTATATACATACCCAAAGAATTGAAAGCAGGTCTCAAACAGATATTTATACACACACGTTCAAGGCAACATTATTCACAATAGTCAAAAGGTGGAAACAACCCAAATGACAGAGGAGTGGATAAACAAAATGTGATATATTCATACCATGGAATTATTTGGCCTTAAAAAGGAAGGAAATGTTGTCATATGCTACGACATGGGTGATCTTTGAAGACGTTATACTAACAAAAGAAGCCAGTCAAAAAATCCAGTCCGAAACTCTGTCATGCCACGTATATGAGGCCCCTGCAAGAGCCAAACCATAGAGCCAGAAAGTCGAGGGTAGTTGGCAGGGGCTCGGGGAGGAGGGCAGCGGGGAGTCAGTGTTTAGTGGGTTCAGAGTTTCAGTCTGGGAAGATGAAAAAGTCCTAGGGATGGACGGTGGCGATGGCTGCACAGCATGTGAAAGTGCCTAATGCTGCTGATCTGTACACTTAAAAATGGTTAAAATGGTAAATTAGGTTATATATAGTTTACCACAATTTTAAAAATTTAAATGTAAAAAAATCAGCATTACAGTAGTTCCTCTAACAAACGGAGGAGAAGCCCTGGGACCCTGGGGGCTCCTTTATGGGGAATGCACCACCGCATCAGGCAGCCGGGAGCTCAGACAAGGTATTTGTGGTTCAACCGGTCCCTGGGATTATTAGGAAGCTGCTCGCTGTTTAATCTTTTCTCCCTCCTCACTGAAAAGATCATCCAAAGGGTATCAAGTCTTAGACAAATTACTCTCTATCCATTACTTTAAAAAAAACAATCCACAAGAACATCTCTCTTAGAGAAGTAGGAAGAGAAGACAGAAATGAAAAGAACCCCACAACTTTTGCGGGACATGTTTGTTCAAATGGCCTGCTTGGTGTGCATGAGTGCCAAGAGAAGGCAGGTGCTGTTAGGCTGGGCCTGCGTCAGGGCAACTTGGGCCCAGGCTCTGCCTCCTAATGGAGGCCACGCACAGGGCTGTCTGCAAAGAAGGAGCGCCTTCTGTCACTTGCAGTCACCCATGTGCTGTCTGTGAGCCTCCTCCTCCTAGAGACCCCCTCGCCCCCTGGCCAGCGTCCCTGCCCAGGAAAGAGGTGCCCCTGCAGGGAAGGCTTCATAGATCTAAGCCACCTCTGGACACTCCCAGGGACTAAAGATTGTAACAACCACAGGAGCTGCAGGGAATGGGAAGCCCCGCCCGCAACAGCCCCATCCTGCCTGCTTGGCCAGGACTTCAGGAGTCGCAGGACGACCTATTTATAGACGTGGGGGGGTGTGGAGCTGGCACCTCATTATGTGCTCTCCTTCCCCTCTTCTTGCCAAGTGACATCTGGACATCCAGGAAAGCCATACAGGGGATATAAGGTCCCCAGAGGACAACTGCCCTGGGAGGAGGGAGGAGTGGCCCCCACGCTATGCTTTGGTGACTGCAGCTGTGAGAGCTGATGTGTAAGAGCCTCAGGTCTTACTGCACCTTCTTCCTCTGCAGCTTCCAGCAAAATCAAGGCATTCCCCAGCCTCAGAGGCTTGCTCAGGCAGGCAGGGGACTAGCCTGACCCTCCACACTCCAGTGGTGCCCACTAATGGGCCCAGTAGTTTCAGAGACCAGGGCACAGAAAGTCTAATGCGCTCCTCAAACAGCGCTTGAAGAAGGGGCGCCCTGACTGGGGTTGCAGCCTGTCGGATGATTCGGTTCAGAGCTGAGTGTGCTGGGAGCGTGGCAGGACTTCACCTGCCGCCCTGAGAACGGACAGCTGGCTCTCCTGGCTTACTCCCAGAGGAGGCGCTTTTTTACCAGGCTCTCAGTTTTGCAGCTGACACCTCAGAGAAAACAGGTTCTGCCCTCAGCTTTTCTGTGGCTGCCCCTTAGCCTTCCGGACCCCAGACTCCTCTTCTGTGAAAGGAGGGCATTGACCAGGAGATTGCTCAGGCTCCCGCCAGCAACGACAGCCTCCAACGGGAAGTTACAACACATTGTTAAGAATATCACCCACACCCCGACACACACACCTGCTCCGCAAAACTGCACTCAGCCAGGGCCGTGTTATGACTTTCTAGGGCCCCGAGGCGTGTTTGCCTTCATGGGCCCCTTCCTCCATAAAAAATATTAAAAATCATATGTTACAACTGTGTTGGTATAAAGATGAATATATTAAAAACATTTTCTCGACCCAAAATTTCTTCTTTTCCTCTGATTTTAAAATAAATTAAAATATTTTCAGGGGCCCCAAGAGCACGGTTTGTGAGGCCTCACCTGCTATGGCTATTCTGCCTAATGGGTATGTCAGCCCAACATCGAGGGCCAGGTTGGTAGAGGAGACAAGAAGGAGACCAGGCGAGGAGGGAGGGTTTAACCTGAGCAGCTGTGTGGTCAGTCACTTCACCTCTCTGTGCCTCAGTTTCCCCATCTAGAAATAATTACAGTAGTTATTCCACAGAGTAGTTGTGAGGATGAAAATAAGATCATGTGTGTAAATACCTCCATTCAGCGGTGCCTACCACGGAGAGGAATCACTTCAGAAAGTGTTAGTTGTCATTAATACTATTCTGATTATTGTTCTAGCCTCTTAGCTGACCCTGTACCTTCACTGGCGCTCTGCAAGGAAGGCAAGGTGAAGTTTCCTGCTTACAGAGACATCTTGCTTGGACCTCCTGGGGCATGTCCAGCTATTTTAGAACTGCTTGTTCAAGAAAACTTTATTTTGATAAACTTCCTTGGCAATATTACTCACGGCAGGCGCCCAGGGAACTCCCAGGGAGATGGCAGCCTGCTGGCCTGAACCAGCCTGCGGTGAGCAAGGTTCCTGGGCAGGAAGACCAGGCACAGGCTATAATCTGCTTCCTACCTTTCTGCTTTTGCTCAGCAGGTATCAGAGCTCAAGGAACTGAGTGGGAGGCTTTGAGGCCTTTTTAAATGCAGAGGCCTTTGGGTAAAATAATGTCTTAATCCCTTAACAGACACACAAGAGGAAAGGCTGACAGCTGGGTTTTTCTAAGGGGATGTGAACGAGGACGTGCTGGGGGCTTTACCCGCGTTGTCTAGTTTAATCCCGGTACCAGCCCCATTTTACAAACCAGCAAGCAGAGGCGCAGAGAGGGCCGCTGACTTGCCCACAGGTCACCCCTACTCCTTCCTGCCGCCCCTAGAGAATGCTGGGACCTAAGTGAAGATCAAGAACAAAGATAAAGGGAAATGGATGCCTGCCCGCCTGGGTCTGCCTCGGCCAGGGCCTATCGCTGAAATGCTCCGGGCCCTCATTCCCTACATGTGCAAGGCGGTGTCGGCCTGCGACTCGCGCTTGCTGCTGCTCTCACCCCGCCCCCTGCCTGGCTGGACGGAGCAGCAGCCTGGCTCCTTTCCCGCCTCCTGGGGCACTTCTCCAGTTCCCGAAAGGGACAGCCACCAGCCACGACACTCCTCCCTGACCTCGAAAGCAGGGAAGTTCCTTAGGGACAAGTTTGCAGAGAGCCTTTTTAATAGGGCTTTTGCTAAATTGTTTTTACTGCACTGAAAGTACAGGGGCCCCGCAAAACCCACATTTTCCAGCTACGCACAGGGTGCCTGAGCCAGGGAGCCGTTTGGGTCCAGACTCCCAGCCAGCTCTTATTGTTTCAGGAAAGTTGGCAGTAACAGGGCCTGTCCTTTCTGAATGTAAACAGTTTAGTGACATCATCTCCTCTTCAGGCAACAGCCCTCTCCACTCACTTCCCTCCTGCTCTTTCCTCTTCGGGAAAATGAGGAAAATAAGTTTGACCCTGGAAGCAGCTGGGCTTATCTGACCATGAGAGAGAAAATACCCTGACAGAACGGACAGAGCAGCAGCAGGCAGCCTTGAGGACAAGGCCCCACCAGGCCAAGGGAAGGACACGATCCTACCTCCGAAGGCAGGCCTCATGGTGAAATCGTGGTCCTCCACTCTGAGAAGTGGCCGAGGTTTTCCTTTCTGGGTTTTGGTCACGTCAAAGTTCTTCTTATAAAGGTGACTGCAAAGACAAGCAAGAGACTTTTTTCCATGGTCCACCAAGGCACTGAGTGAGATTATTTGGGGAGATTACTTCTTTCCAGAACTACCATTAAGCACCTTTTCTCCATCAGGCTCAAAATCACACCCAGCTCCCCACCCCACTTCACCCCGCTGCCCCCGCCCCAGGTCCTCAAAGGCAGGCTGAGGACCAACCAGACCCTTCCAGAGCCTTCCTAAAGCCAATGCCTCCCCACAGGGCACCATTCTACCCTGACAAGCTCTCAATTGTCAACAGTTATGATTAGAGGACAGCAGTTGGGTTGAACGGTGAAGGAATTAAAAGGTGGGGGGGCATTAGACATTTTTCTTTTGTTGTTATAATATTGGTTTTATGATCAATAAATATCTGAGACGAATACAGTTAAAGTTTTACAATGTTGGTTTTGTCCTAGTCAGACCTGTTGGTCATCGGTTCAGCTGGCAGCTGTCTGCAGTCTGACCCCCTCCATCCACAGTCTGCAGGGGACCAAGGCCAAGTTGGAAACAGAGTTGCTCCCACCACCCAGGTGGAAGCTGGAGCCGGAGGAGCCTAGGTCACACTCTTTCCTCTAACACAGACGACCAAGGGTGATTCTCTCTTCTCTCTCACCCACACTTACTGTTTCCAGATCTTTTTTCTCACTGTCACCACCACACATAACCCTAAAGCAGTAACACCCATAATGTTCTAAAGCAAGATTCCACTGACAGGACTATCACTAAATGAGAAAAAAGAGGGGAGGGAGAAATAGAGGGAGAGGGAGAGAGGAAGGAAGAAAGAAAAGGAGAGAAAGAGGAAAAGGGGAGAGAGAGAGGGAGAGAGGAAGGAAGAAGGAGGGAAGGGAGGAAGGGAAGGAAAGGTCATTTGGACATTTGTCAAGATGTGAGATCTAATTCTTAACAGAATAAAATAAGCAAACTTATAAGAAATCAGTGTTATTATAATGTTTGTTATGTGTAGGTTAGTTAAGGTTTTGGAAGTAAATGAAAAGATTTTGTTTTGAGCATTTTTGATCTTTAATATATACCTCTATTTTACTTAGTGTTCTTATCACATTTCATTCATTTTTATAGAAAAATAAGCATATCTCCTGCATAAACTCTGTAAGACGGAAGTGACATGTGTCCTCTCCTGAGGTCCTCTGAAATCCTTCTTAACTTTCATCTGCTACTAGCTCTGCTCTGATGGTATCATTTGAACAGAAGCCTAAAGCTGTGCTGATTAATAAAGTAGCCTTTAGCCACATATGGCCGCTTAAGTTAATTAAAATAAAATTAATATTCAGTTTCTCAGTTATACTAGCCATAGTTATGGGCTCAATAACCACATATGGCTGCTGGCTGTTATATTTGACAGTGCAGACACATACCATTTCCACAATGGCAAAAAACTTTATTGCAGTGCTGGGCTAGAGGTTAGCCTGCCCCCCATCAACCTTCCTTCCCACCCAAAAAGCAGGTTCCCCTGTAAGCTGGGTCTTCCCATCTTATAGCCCTACCCTTAGAGCCACCTGGTCCAGTTCCAGACCTCCCAGTCATTCTCCCACTTCCTCTGAAGGCTCTGCCACCAACTGTTCCTTTCTCTCCATTCAGTTCCCCCCACCAACCTTAAGGATGCCAATATCCATAGGGACAGCCATCCTACATTCTGGTCATACAATCCCTCAATTCCTGCGCTCAAATTCATTCGCTAAACACAGTTCTGTGTAGCACCTACTCTGTCCAGATGCTGTTCAGGTCATGGAGAGGACATATATTCACGGCCTTCACAGGGCTGATAACTTTCTGGGGGAGATAAATTATAACATGTGTCTGGCTGGTGTGGCTTAGTGGATTGAGCACTTTACTGAGAAGCAAGGGGTCACTGGTTTGATTCCCAGCCAGGGCATATGCCCGGGTTGCGGGCCAGGTCCCCGGTAGGGGGCGCACAAGAGGCAGCCACACTTTGATGTTTCTCTCCCTCTCTTTCTTCTTCTCTTCTCGTCCCCTCGCTCTAAAAATAAATAAATAAAATCTTTTTTTAAAAGACTGTTTCAAAAAATAAAGGGTGTTGAGATTTTTCATGGTATTTTAAAAAAAAATAACACGTAGACAAATAATGTAACTTCAGGAAGTGCTGAGTAGCACAAAAATATAATAAAGCAGAGTAAGGAATAAGAGAGAGATGGGTTGGGGCAGAGGGTGGTCAGGGAAGGCTTCTGAGGCCTGGAGGGGAGGAGGGAGGGAGCACACCTTGAGCAGACCGGAAGTGCATCCTGAGGGGGGGGACAGCATGTGCAAATGTTCTGAGGTGAGTCTGGTTTGTGGGAGAAATACAAGAAAACCAGTGGGCTGGAGGACAGCAAGGAGATCCTTCTGGTGAGAAAGGAGGTGGGAGACAAGGCCAGGGGGCCAGACCATAAGGTCCTCATGCGTATGATCCTGAGTGGGGAGACCCATGAACATTCTGAGTGGGAGAGGCGAAAGATCTGGTTTAGGACCTGATTGGATTACTGGCTCATGTGTACAGGAGACTAGAGAGGACAGTGTAGAAACAGGAGACCATTAGGAAACTTGATGAGGCGACATGGTGCCTGGATGCAGGGGGACGCGGGTGACGGGGGGCGTTGTAAAGAAGTAATAATATCTGCGGAGGTGTGTAGGCCTGGCTGATGGAATGGGCATGGGGTATGGGGGGAAAAGAGGGGCAATGATGACCCAGGTTTATGACCCGGGCACCTGAGTGGCTGATGGGGACATTCCCAGTGATGATAAAAACTGTGGTACATTTGCGGGGGTGGGGGTGCACCTAATCCTTATAAGCTATCTGATTTCGAGATGCCTGTGAGACATCCAGGGAACAGGTAAAGAAGGAGGGAGGGCAACTCTGAAATTTCCACTTCCCCCAGCCTTGTAGGTTCTGCGGGTACCTGGGGGCTAAGTGCCTGACCCTCTTTCTCCCAGAGCCTTTTGAAGTTGGCCTGAAGAAGTCCCAGAGTTCCACATGCTCCTGCCACTTCCTCACTTCCAAGCACTCCTTGCCTCACTTGTGCCCGAGCCTGAGGCCCTGCAGGTGCTCTTGCTGAGAGCTGGCTTCCCCGCACAAGGAGGACAGGGCACTTGGTTTCCTCCTTCATCTCTGACAGTTCCTTCTCAGCCTCCACTGCGGCTGCCTCCTCATCCCATTCCTTAAGTGCCAGTGTGCCCAGGGCCCTGTTCCCGCCAACTTCTCTCTCCCTACGTTCTCCTTGGCAGGCTAGTCTATATTAGTAACTTCAACTGTCATTAGCATCCTAATGATTCCTATATCTATGGGCCCCTGTGCTAGAACTTTGTATCCAGCTACCAGATTATCCCCAGCTGAGTATCCTAGAGGCATGTAAACTCCACACATCCATACTTTGGTTTGGGACGTGCAGAGTGTGAGGTGACCTAGCTGAAGGATGAGTGGACAAACAGTAGATGAAATGGGGGAAGGGATTAGATGAGACAGAGAGAATGAGGCTGCAGAGGCAAACAGGGGCCAGGCCAGGCAGAGCCTGGAAGATCATATGAAGAATTTTTTCCTGCCCTTGCCAGGAAAGTCAGTTGGTAAGAGCGTCATTCCAACAGACCAAGGTTGCAGGTTTCAATACCCCCATCAGGGCACACTCAAGATCCACCAATGAATGTATAAATAAGTGGAACAACAAATCAATGTTTCTCTCTCCCTTCCCCTCTCTCTCAAAATATCAATAAATAAAAATTAAAGAAAATTTTTCCCTGGCTGGTGTGGCTCAGTGGATTGAGCACTGGCCTGCCAACCAACAGGTAGCCAGTTCAATTCCCAGTCAGGGCACATGCCTGGGTTTTGGGTCAGGTGCTCAGCTGGGGACATGTGAGAGGCAACCAGTCAATGTTTCTCTCCCTCTTTTTCTCCTTCTCTTTCCCTCTCTCTAAAAATAAATAAATGAAATCTTAAAAAAATACACACACACACACACACACACACACACACACATATATATATATATATATATAAATTGAAAAAAAAAAGAATTTTGTCCTTATCTAAAGGGAAAGGGAAAACACTGAAGGGTGTTAAGCAACTGGAAGAAGAAGCCATGACGCTTTTAAATGGGAGACAGAGAGGAGAGAAACATCAACGTGAGAGAAAAACACATCAATCGGTTGCCTCTTGTACAAATGCTGACTGGGGACTGAACCCGCAACCTAGGCATGTGCCCCTGACCAGGAATCGAACCTGTGGCCTTTCAATTTACAGGACAATGCTTAACCAATTGAAAGCCACACCAGGCCAAGGAGGTGAGATTTGCTTTTCGACAAGTCCATTGTAGCTGCGTATCCAAGGAGGGGAGTCCAATGTGACCTCTTCCTCCTCTTTAGCTGGGATATAGGACCTAAGTCTAGTTCCCTGGAAGCATGTATGCATGACCATGGTCGGGGGGCTGCCAAGAAGCTTCCATTCCCATTGGTCTCTTCCCCAAGCCTCAACAGGGACCCAGTTTCCAATGCAGTGACTGCCTGAAGGGCCAAGTTCAGATGCCCCAGCAAAGGCACCCCAGGGACATGGAGGGAGAGCACATCCTCAGGGCTTAGCAGATCATTAAATGGTGAGGGCAGCGAATCACTGCCCTTCCGCCTCCCACAGAGCAAATCCCTCCAGGTCAGCCACCCCCATGTCCATTTAAAGGTCAGGGTTAGGGCAGCAGATGTCCTGGAGTACCGGCACCCGGCAAGAGGGAGGACTGAAATCCCAGTGCCATTAACAAAGGTCTAGAATTTGTTTTTAAGGACCTGGTTATTTGATAACTCAGGCCACTGATATCCGGAGTCTTAGGCTATTTGTGTGAGCCAGAGACCTTGCATTCACCCTGCAACCCCAGACTCCGGGGGCCAGATCCCAAGTCCCAGCCCCACGGCAGTGTGGCCAGAACCTTCATGGGACCTCCAACCCAGCCTTGGCGGAGGGAGAGGGGAAGGAAAAAGACAGGTGCATTC